GCACGGGGCTAGTCCCTGTGCTCATCAGTGTCAAGCAGGAGGCCAGTAAGTCCTTGTGCTCCTCAGAGCAGGAGGACGTCCCTGTGCTCCTCAGTGTCCCTGCAGGTGGCCTGTCTGTGTCCTCCAGAGTCCAGGCAGGAGTCGTCCCTGTGCTCCTCAGAGGGGTTTTTTTTCCCCCACCAGCACGGAGGCGAGTCCCTTGTGGCTCCTCAGAGTCCCAGCAGGGGCAGTCCTTGTGCATCCTCAGAGCAGGAGGCCAGGTCCCTGTGCTCTCAGAGTCCGGATTTAAGAACATACAGTGGGGCAAAAAAGTCAGCCACCAATTGTGAAGTTCTCCCACTTAAAATAAGACAGATGTCTGTAATTTTCTTCATAGGTTCACTTCAATGTGAGAGACAGAATGGAAAAAAAATCCAGGAATTCACATTGTAGGATTTTTTAAAGAATTTATTTGTAAATGATGAGTGGAAAATAAGTAGTTGGTCACTTCAAACAAGGATGATCTCTGGCTTTCTCACAGACCTGTAACTTCTTCTTTAAGAAAGCTCTTCTTGTCCTTCCACTCGTTTTACCTGTATTAATGGCACTGTTTGAACTCATCTGTATAAAAAGACACCCTGTCCACAGGCCTCAAACAGTCAGACTCCATACTCCATATGGCCAAGACCAAAGAGCTGTCGAAGGACAGCAGGAAAAGAATTGTAGACCTGCACCAGACTGGGAAAAAAAGGTAAAAAAAAAAGTGAAAGTGTGAAAAAAAATAAGTAAAGTGGGGTTTGTTTAAAAAGTCGTTGTGATTGGGTTTTGGTTGAGAAAAAAAAAAAAAGTGATGTGCGTAGGTGTGGGTTGGATTGTTGGATGTTGTGATGTTGAAAGGTTTTTTGGGTGAAAAAAAAAAAAAGGTTTTGGCTTGATGCGTGTGAAAAAGTGGGTGTGTCTGGGTTTGGTGTCTAAAGGTGATCTACTAATTGGCAAGCAGCCTTGGTGTGAACAAATAAAATGTGGGAGCAAATTATCAGAAAAGGGAAGACATAAAAGATCACACTGTTAAATTGTGATCAAAAATCCACAGAACCACCGGGGGGGACCTGGTGAGATGTCCTGCAGAGAGCTGGGACAAAAGTAACAAAGGTTACCATCAGGAACACACTACGACGACAGGGAATCTATCCTGCAGTGCCAGACGTGTCTCCCCCTGCTGAGCCAGTGCATGACCAGGCCCGTTCCTGAAGTTTGCCAGAGAGCACATGGATGATACAGCAGAGGTTTGGGAGATGTTCTTGTGGTCAGATGAAACCAAAGTACAACTGTTTGGTATAAACTCAACTGTCGTGTTCGGAGGAAGAAGAATACTGAGCTACATCCCAAGTCACCTTACCTACTGTGAAGCCATGGGGGGTGGAAACGTCATGCTTTGGGGCTGTTTTTCTGCTAAGGGTACAGGCACGAATGATCGTTTTATTTTAGGAAAGAAAGAATGGGGCCATGTATCGTGAGACTTTTGAGCAACACTCTCCTGCGATCAGTGAGAGCTTTGAAGATGAAACGTGGGTGGGTCTTCCAGCAGACAATGATCCCAAATTCACACCGCTGTGTCGTCACCGGGCAACGAATAGGATTAGTGGCTCCGTAAGAAGCCTTTGAAAGTCCTGGAGCCAGTCTCCAGACCTCAAACCATTGAAAAATCTGTGGAGGGAGTTGAATGTCCGTTGTCACTGCTCTCGAGAGGGATCTGCTGGAGGATGGCCAAAATACCAGCTTTGTGTGCAACTGGTAAAGGGACCTATTAGTAATCGTTGACCTCTGTTATTGCCAACCAAAGGTTATATTACAAATGTATTGAGTTGAATTTTTGTTATTGACAAATACTTATTTTCCAACATCATTTACAAATAAATTCTTTAAAAATTACAATGTGAATTCCTGGATTTCTTTTCAATTCTGTCTCTCACAGTTGAAGTGAAACTCTGATGTACTTTCAGATCCTCTGTCTTTAGTTTAAGTGGGAGAACTTGCACAGTCGGTGGCTGACTTTTTTGCACCCACTGTATGTTCTTAAATCGGACTCTGAGGAGCACAGGGATGGCCTCCTGCTCTGTGGAGCTACAAGGACTGGCTCCTGCTGGGACTCTGAGGAGCACAGGGACTGGCTCGTGCTGGGACTCTGAGGAGCACCTGGGACTGGACTCCTGCTGGGGACTTGAGGAGCACAGGGGACTGGCTCCTGCTGGGACTTGAGGAGCATCAGGACTGGCTCATGCTCTGAGGAGCACAAGGACTGGCCTCCTGCTGGGACTCTGAGGAGCAGAGGGACTGGCCTCGGGCTGGGACTTCTGAGGAGCACAGGGACTGGGACTCCTGCTGGGACTCTGAGGAGCAAAGAGGACTGGCCTCGTGCTGGGACTATGAGGAGCACAGGGACGGGACCTCCTGCTGGGACTCTGAGGAGCACAGGGACTGGACTCCTGCTGGGACTCTGATGAGCACAGGGACTGGATCTGCTGGGACTCTGAGGAGCACAGGGACTGGCTCCTGCTGGGGACTTGATGAGCACAGGACTGGACTCCGCTGGGACTCTGAGGTGCACAGGGACATGACTCCTTGCTAGTCCAGAGTCAGGACTAAACATGGGGAGGCTGCATTTAAGATTTATGCAGCCTAAAATCTGGAAGAGTCTTCCTGAAAATGTGAGGACAGCTTCTGTCAGACAATGTTCAAATCAAGGTTCGAACAGTTCTGTTAGCTGTGAATAACTGGGGGGATTCTATCTTCTGTGTTTATGTGCCTTGTTCAGCACTTGAGTTGCCTTGTGTATGAATTTGTGCTATATAAAATATACATGTCCTTTCACTCGTCCTTACACCCTTTTTGCATTCTCTTACAGTTCTGTTCACTGCAGATTTGAATTATACATTTATAATGATTATAGAACCGACAACAGTGCGTATATATGTTGACGGCTCAGAAGGCCCGACAAAATCCGCCCAAACAAGGTCCTGGTGCTGGGGAACAGAGCCCTTAATGAAAGAGTGGGCTTCTGGACAAGGTGAAAGTGGTCGAGATCTGATATACACAGGGCTCTGTTGGATGCTACTTCTCGAGTAAACCTGGCCAATGAGGTTTACATGCAGAGAATGTGGGCTGAATGGTTACTTCGAAACCACTGTCACTGTTGACCCGGAAACAAACCGGTACTCAATGCTCCAACATCCACAAACGGCAGAATGCTATCACAGCTTGAGATCGATGTGGTACAACACAAGTTTGATGCCAAAGGTGCCACAGTTACTGAGGTCAGAGGGGAGGTCCCCACCAACTGCAACTCCCCAACCAGATATGGGCTCAATGCCCCAATGGAACCAATAACGCTGAACGATGGCAGGACTGACCTGAATGCTTATATTCATGGCTAAATTGGGCACGGGCATAAGACACCGGTTTACAGCGTTGTGTGAAGTACCCACATAAGGATCTCCATAGAAACGTGAATGCAGCAGTGAGGGCAATATCCTACCACCACAATCACTGAACCAATGAGCTGTATACACTTCTTGCAGCAGTGATCCTAGGGAGATGCTTGGCTATAAGAGCAACCATGGGAGCCATGGACTATACCCACCATGAAAAGACGGGTGGAGGCGGAGATCCAAGGTTGAGCTCGGAGAGAAGTGAGGTCATTACACGAGGCCAGAGAGGTGCAATGAAGAAGACAGTACCCAGAAAGTACAGCCAGATAAACAATACCTGAAGCACTCGAAACTGCCAACAATTGCTCCAAGCCTGCCAGCCGCTTCAGTGGGTACACTAAAGGAGATTGAAGCAGAAGGGTGAACAGGCTGTTCGCAACACAACCTGCGAAGGTGTTACGCTCAGTGGCAGGGTAACAACAGGGTAACAAACTGGGTAGCATCGGGGAGAAGACCTCCGAGGCGGAAACTGAACAGTTCTGGAAAGTACATTTGGGAGAAGGATGCAGCACATAACAGCAGTGCACAATAGGCTGGTGTCCCTGAGAGAGGACGCACAGCCACCTCCCAGAACGAACTCAGTTACCATCACAGCAGGCAGTATCGGAAAGAGTCTCAGGTATGAAAAATACGGACAGCACCTGGCCCTGATTATGGTCCATGCCTACTTGGCTAAGGACACTCACATCACTAATGAGCGCCTCGCAGCACAAATGGACCGCTGCTGAGAGATGGTCTTCACCCATAATGGCTAACCGAAGGGGGCGAAACGGTCCTGTTCATGCAGTCCCCTCCAACTACCGGCCAATAACTTGTCTCTCCACACATGGAAGCTCATGTCAGGTATCTTTGCGGCTTAAGATAAGTGGGATATGGAACTATTCATGTAGCACAGCACAGAAGGGCATTGGTAGGGGGACAACAGAGGAGCCATACACCAGCTCCTTAGTGACACCAGAGGGAGCCAAACACCAGCTCCTGGTTGGACCTGAACAGAAATGTAGAAGGATGGTGACTCGGAGGACAAGGTGAGTCCACACAGAAGGGATCTCACTCCCAGAGGAACAATAGCAGACGTTCGAGGACAGTTACAAGTATCTCGGTATACACAGGCTATATGGCAACCCTCGAAACAGGCAACGAGAAAAGCGGCAACTGCAAATACCTCAGCGAGTAAGGCAGGTCTAAGAAGCCGGCTCAATGGCAGTACAAGGTCGGGCAATTAACAGCTACGCCCTGCCAGTGATTCAGATACCTGCAGGAATATCAGGGGCCAAAGGAAGGATTCAGACACACGGATGTTAAACTCGAAAGCTGCCTTACCTATGCATGGCGGGTAACATCCCAATTCCTGCCCCCTGTGACTGTACGTAAGCCGTAATGAAGGAGGCGAGACTAGTGAGTGTGAGAGCCACTGTCAGGAAGAAACATCCAAAACTCCAGAACTTATCATGGAGAAGGCAAAACGGATGTCGTTCTCAGTGAATGTCTCAGGCAGTGGCGAGATGAGGAGGTGCTGAGGAGAAGCCCATCATGGTTGAGAAACAAGCCCCTACACGGCATGTACACCGGAGCTTAACAGAAGAATGGCTGATCTCAAGAATGTTCCTTCAAATGGCTAGAAAGGGCTGGCCTACAGGACAGCACAGAGGCACTCATCATGGCTGCACAGGAACAGGCACTGAGCACCCGAGCGATAGAGGCCAGATATCCACACCAGACCATGACCCAAGGTGTCGGTTGTGCAAGTGGCACCTGAGACACTCCAACACATAACTGCTGGTTCAAGTTTGCTGGCAGGGAAGCCTTCATGGAACGCCTTAACCAAGTGGGTCTGCATAGTGTACAGAAAATTGTGCAGAGTATGTGGCTGGAAACCCAGGGTCTAAGTGGGAAACTCCTCCAATGGTGGTGGAAAATGAAGCAAAAGATCTGTGGACTTCCAGATACAGACCGACGATGGTAATGAACCAACCAGGTATTCGTGGTGGTGGACAAAGGGCAGGAGACAGCCGGTGGTGGGGACAAAGGGCAGAGGACAGCCGTGGTGGACAAAAGGGCAGGGACAGCCGTGGTGGTAGACAAAGGGCAGAGGACAGCCGTGGTGGTGGTACAAAGGGCAGAGGACAGCCGTGGGTGGTGGTCAAAGGGCAGAGGACAGCCGTGGTGGTGGACAAAGGGCCAGGGGATCAGCCGTGGTGGTGGTGGACAAAGGGCTGAGGACTGCCGTGGTGGTGGACATTGGGCAGAGGACAGCCGTGGTGGTGGACAAAGGGCAGAGGACAGCCAGGTGGTGGAACAGGGCTGAGGACGCCGTGGTGGTGGACAATGGGTAGGGACAGCCGTGGTGGTGGACCATAGGGGGAGAGGACAGCCGTGGTGGTGGACAAAGGGCAGAGACAGTCCGTGGTGGTGGACAAAGGGCAGAGGACTGCCGTGGTTGGTGGACGTGGCTATTCCAAGCGAAGTAAGTAAGTAAGTAAATATTTTATGGATATATACCGCATTTTACTACAGATTGAGTCTCAAAGCGGTTTACAATTGTTTAATTTTGGGCATTTGTCTCTCACTCCACACAGAGATGGTGGGGCCAGGACAGGAGAGCCATGCCGATACTATTGGACATAATTTTTAGTGGTAGGGGAATAATCCGTGGTACCGGAGGAAACCTACGCAGACATGGGGAGAACATGCAAACTCACTCTGAAAGGCACTGGTCCGACCGAGGATTCGAACCCAGTCCTTTTGCTGAGAGGCGAGAGAGCGATCCACTCAGCCACCGTGCCGCCCGCCGCTTGAAATAGGACATGAAGGAAGCTATGTGCCTTTACAGGGGATATGGGAAAGATAGTTCTTCTCATTCATGCGGATGTTCTGGGTAACGCTGGTATATGGCCTGCGTCATACTCAAACACCGCTTGTAACCTCAGGAAATGCAAATTTGAATCTTGAGAAGGTCTGCGGCAAAGGCATCTTCATCTTTTCATTCCCACTGCTGTTCCAGACGTGGAGTGGTAAAAACAAGCAAAATCCCAGCAGAAGGGCGGAAAAACGCATCCATTTCACGCCGCCTCTTTTCCTGTTAAAGGAACATGAAAAATCTTGAGAAAGTACAAGGTCCTCAGAGAGGAGTGAGAGGGGCTGAGGGTAAAGGTGACAGTAGTGCCCGGTGGTGATCGGTGCACTCGGGGCTGTGACCCGAAGCGAGAAGGGTTACAGTGGATCCCTGGGAACCAACCTCGGACATCTGGGTTCCTGAATTGTGCGTGCTAGGAACTGAAAGATACTGCGCAGAACACATCCCCCATTCTGATTTGTTGTTAGTACGACCTCCCAACCGTCCATCATGATAAGGCTATCACACACACACACCTAAGTGTCGTTAACAGGTCCTCCCCTGCAGCTTAGCTATTCCTAACTGTTTTAGAATAAACCGTGATCATAAATCACTTTAGACAACTGTGAAGCATTTACTTTATCACACACACACAGGGTCAACTGAAGCTAACTCATTAAAACTCTTTGAAAAATACCGTGCAGTAACACCTTTCACCACTTGCTCAAGAGCGCCGTCCCCTTTCTGGGGAGTTTTAGGGTGCAGTACCACCTTTTCACCACTTGCTCAATACTGGTGTCAATACTATCTACTACCAGAGACCACTGTTACACTGTCACAGGTCATTCTTCATCTCTGTGTTTTCTTACAGATCACCAATGAAATCATCCGGATCTGCTTCAAAACCATCTCCTTGGACCAGATCTTTAATGGTTTTGTGATCTCCAGCAAGAGAACCCTCACAGAGTGTATCCAGTGTTGTCTCTCCTGGAAAGAGATTTATCAGCAAACCTCTCAAGTCCACCTCAAGTGAGGACCTGGGACCTCAGGCAGGTTTGGGATCAGCTGGTCCTGTCCCCGTCTCAGTCCTGTCTCTGTGCAGGTTCTCCCCAAAGTCTTGGGCCGTGGACTCCAGCAGCATCTTTGTTCTTGTGGACACGTTTGTTCAGCGGTTTAAAGAGTTAGTGGAGGTAAACTGTCAGACTGCAAAGTGAGGAGTGAGCCGGTGTTGACTGGTCTGCTGTGTACAGGTCTGTGACTGCCAATACCAGTTCGCTCGCTGGGAGGACGGCTGGCAGAGGCCCCTCCCCATATTCAGCGGCTGTCAGGGTCCAGAGTTTACCCGCTCCCTGCAGGACCTCGAATCCAAGTTCCACCAGGGTCTACAGGGACTGCGCTCTGTTGGCCACAGTGTCCTGGACGTCAACGATCCCCAGTGGAGAACCGAGTTCAGCAGGTTAGCACATGTGAGAGACCATAGAGAGACCATAGAGAGACCAGAGAGAGACCAGAGAGAGACCCGAGAGAGACCCGAGAGAGACCCGAGAGAGACCCAAGAGAGACCCGAGAGAGACCAGAGAGAGATCAGATAGAGACCAGAGAGAGCGGAGAGAGACCAGAGAGAGACCAGAGAGAGACCCGAGAGAGACCCGAGAGAGACCCGAGAGAGACCAGAGAGAGACCAGAGAGAGATCAGAGAGAGCGGAGAGAGACCAGAGAGAGACCAGAGAGAGAGCAGAGAGAGAGCAGAGAGAGACCAGAGAGAGACCAGATAGAGACCAGAGAGAGCGGAGAGAGAGCGGAGAGAGACCAGAGAGAGACCAGAGAGAGCGGAGAGAGACCAGAGAGAGACCAGAGAGAGAGCAGAGAGAGAGCAGAGAGAGAGCAGAGAGAGACCAGAGAGAGACCAGAGAGAGACCAGAGAGAGACCAGAGAGAGACCAGAGAGAGACCAGAGAGACTATTGGAAAGATATTGTAGTTGCTTGAACATGTGAGGTGACTGTGCAGCTGGTTCCTTTCAGGTTTGGAACATTGATCAAACACATGGAGATGACGGCCCAGAACCTCATCAGTTCTGTGTTCAGCACCGTGGACACAGTGGAGGAGGGAGTGAGGCTTCTGGACAACTTCAGACCGATGTGGAGCCGAGAGGTAAGGGTTCCTCTGTGAGTTCTTCAGACCGATGTGGAGCCGATAGGTTAGGGTTCCTCTGTGAGTTCTTCAGAGCGATGTGGAGCCGAGAGGTAAGGGTTCCTCTGTGAGTTCTTCAGACCGATGTGGAGCCGAGAGGTAAGGGTTCCTCTGTGAGTTCTTCAGACCGATGTGGAGCCGAGAGGTGAGAGTTCCTCAGTGAGTTCTTCAGACCGATGTGGAGCTGAAAGGTGAGAGTTCCTCAGTGAGTTCTTCAGAGCTGTGCTGACTCTGTGTCCTTCAGGCCATCAGGCGCACCACGGAGGAGAAGGCTGAGCTCGTCCTTCACATCATCAACACACAACTAAAGATGGTGAACAGTGAGCTCAGCAGAGGAATGAGGAGCTCCCATCTGTACATACCTGAGGTCATAGGTCACGCATACTGGCCCCGAGCCCTCAAACAGAGGCTGCAGCCCCCCCTGGAGGTGAGGAGTACAATTATGTGTTCAGCGAGAACCATCACTGCAAAAGATGATCAAAGATGAGGTCATAACTCCTTGAATGGAGAGTTTTTGACTTAATATGAAACATTCTTAAAACCAGATTCTCATTTAGTCTGATTGCTTTATTTCCTCATTCTGAGAGAGACATTTCCGTAACTTTTTAAAATAAGGTGATGTCGCTTTCTTCCATTGGTAAACCTTGTTTGAAGTCAGAATGTGCTGAATTCAGATACAATTGGCCAAATTTGACTTCACTTTTTGCAGCCGTTTAACATTAATGTCAAATAATTAAAGACTATCAGAATGTTAGCTTGTGAGGCTAACAGTGGTGCACTGGTTAGATTCCATCTCCAGGCTTTGCTATATGGAGTTTGCATGTTCTCCCTGTGTCTGTGTAGGTTTCCTCTGAGTGCTCGGGTTCCCTTACCACTAAAAACGTCTGTCCTCTGTCATCACTGTGTGGAGACAATGGGAAATATTTGTACAACAGAAAAGATGGAAAGCCTTAGATCCTTTATTTGTCCCATTGTGCGGAAATGTCAGTGTTTCATCACAAGTTACAGAGCAGAGGAGTGGAAGGTTATGAATAGCACAACTCTATACTTAAAAAACTCTAACTTAATACAGAAACAAAGTAATATATTAGTATTGATATTTGTGTAACCTTGATCATTGAAATGGGCTATATTAATAAATGATTATAAGAAAGTACTTACTAAGCCTTTTTCCCTCGTGCTTCAGAAGGCCAAGTTTCTGAGCGAGTCCCAAACCTACAAGAAAATGACGATGACGTCCAATCAGACGGTGCAGCTGCTGGACGAGAGCCTGAGGAGGAGCTTCACGGACTGGACTCTGGCTCTGGACGCTCACTCCTTCACTCGACTGGAGCAGACGCTGCTGCTGCGCTGCAAAGACGGACGTCTGGATCTCAACTTTGACTCGTACGTGTCTCACACAGACCTGTGAGGGACACCATCAGGCAGATGTGGGAACTGCAGGGGGCAGATAGAAGGGAAGTTAGGTTGGTTTATGACAGGGGTGATGTATTCTATAAACAACACACATCGATGCTCTCAGAACCAGCTGAGAGAGACCAGAGAGACACCATAGGGACACCAGACACCAGAGAGAGACCAGAGAGACACCAGAGAGACGAGAGAGACACCAGAGAGAGACCAGAGAGACACCAGAGCGAGACCAGAGAGACTAGAGAGACACAGAGACCAGGGAGAGACCATAGAGAGAACAGAGAATGACCAGAGAAAGAGACCAGAGAGAGACCAGAGAGACACCAGTGAGAGACCAGAGAGACATCAGAGACAAGAGCGAGACACCACAGATCAGAGAGAGACCAGAGAGACACTAGAGAGAGACCGGAGAGACATCAGAGACAAGGGCGAGACACCACAGATCAGAGAGAGACCAGAGAGACACTAAAGAGAGACCAGAAAGAGAGACACGAGAGACCAGAGAGACACCAGAGAGACACCAGAGAGACACCAGAGAAAGACCAGAGAGAGACACAAAGGTTTTCTTCTGTGCTGTGACTCTACACCAGTGTATTGTCCTACCCTGATGCACTTGCCTTCCACAGGGGCCTGTGGACTCTGTTCTCTGAGGTCCAGTACTGGGAGTGTCTGAAGTGTGAGATCCCTCAGGGCGTGTTGGACATGTACCGTGAGAGAGCAGACTACAGGAGCCTGAGAGAGAAAGTCCTGCTCCTCATCCGGAGCTACAACAGGTTAGCATGGCCTCAGCAGCGTCACACTATCAAACTACAAGTGCTATGTTTTGTTTTGTCCTGTAGCATTATCGGCATGCTATCTCCCGTTGAGCTGGAGTTGTTCAGAGACCGGATGGACTTCCTGGATCGTAAGATTCAGCCTGGTCTGTCCAAACACACATGGCTGACCAAGGGAGCCTCTTCAGCGTTTGTGCGAGACTGTCTGTTTCATGTGGAGAAGGTACAGACTCATCGTACTCAAGGATTACACACGACACCTACTCCTTCTTCTGCTCCTCAGATGCACACTGTGGTGGAGGGATTTAAATCATCCAGCCAGTCCATCTCCAACCTCTGCTGTGAGATCAGTGAGGAGCTGCTGGTTCGACTGGACGGGAAGACGGTTTACAGGTAATAACACTCCTGCAGAGAGGACAAGAGAGAGACCAGAGAGAGAGAGACCAGAGAGAGAGACCAGAGAGAGAGACCAGAGAAAGAGTCCAGAGAGAGACCAGACAGAGAGACCAGAGAGACCAGAGAGAGACCAGAGGGACCAGAGAGAGAGGCCAGAGAGAGAGACCAGAGAGGGAGACCATAGCGAGACCAGAGAGAGACAAGAGAGAGACAAGAGAGAGACAAGAGAGAAACCAGAGAGAGACCAAAGAGAGACCAGAGAGAGACCAGAGAGAGACCAGAGAGACCAGAGACCAAGGAGAGACCAGAGAGACACCAGAGAGAGACCAGAGAGAGAGAGACTAAAGAGAGACCAGAGAGAGAAACCAGAGAGAGACCAGAGAGATCAGAGAGAGACCAGAGAGAGAGACCAGAGAAAGACCAGAGAGAGACCAGAGAGAGACCAGAGAGAGACCAGAGAGAGACCAGAGAGAGACCAGAGGGACCAGAGAGAGACCAGAGAGACCAGAGAGACCAGAGAGACCTGAGAGAGACCTGAGAGAGACCTGAGAGAGACCAGAGAGAGACCAGAGAGAGACCAGAGAGAGACCAGAGAGAGACCAGAGAGAGACCAGAGAGAGACCAGAGAGAGACCAGAGAGAGACCAGAGAGAGAGACCAGAGAGAGACCAGAGAGAGACCAGAGAGAGACCAGAGAGAGACCAGAGAGAGACCAGAGAGAGACCAGAGAGAGACCAGAGGGACCAGAGAGAGACCAGAGAGAGACCAGAGAGAGACCAGAGAGAGACCAGAGAGAGACCAGAGAGAGACCAGAGAGAGACCAGAGAGAGACCAGAGGGACCAGAGAGACCAGAGAGAGACCAGAGAGACCAGAGAGACCAGAGAGACCAGAGAGAGACCAGAGAGAGACCTGAGAGAGAGACCAGAGAGAGACCAGAGAGAGACCAGAGAGAGACCAGAGGGACCAGAGAGACCAGAGAGAGAGACCAGAGAGGAAACAGCAAGAAAACAGCGAGGCTGAAGGTTGCCTACGTTATAGTCAGGGTTCAAGGTTCAGCTACAGGGACCACTGTATACAGTATACATATTCAGGGTATAGATTTATATAAAGTATATATTCAGGGTTAACAAGAAACATGGCTAACAAGGGTATATGTATATACAGTATACAATATACAGTCAATGTGTATGTATATATACAGTATGTATTCAGGGTATAAGTATGTATACAGTATATAGTCAGGGTATATGTATATATACAGTATATAGTCAGGGTATATGTATATATACAGTATATAGTCAGGGTATATGTATATATAAAGTATATAGTCAGGGTATATGTATATATACAGTATATAGTCAGGGTATATGCATGTATACAGTATATAGTAAGGCAAGGCAAGGCAAGTTTATTTATATAGCACAATTCATACACAAGGCAATTCAAAGTGCTGAACAAAACAGGAAAGCATTAAAATCATAAATAATCACAGAACATTAAAAAGAAAGCTAAAAGTATAAAATCGCTCAGTTGTATGCACAGCTAAACAGAACTGTCATTAACCTGGTTTTAAACATTGTCAGAGAGGAGGCCTGTCTCACATCTTCAGCCCGGCCCGGCCCGATATGGTTTCTGAATTTTCAGGCCCGAAACCCGCATCAAGCCCCACTTTATTTTTTTATTTTTTTACCTCCCATAACAATGTTTTGGCGTCGTATATAGTGTTGCGCACTGATATGAACACAGGCTTGGCTAGAGAGCGGAGTTATACATGGTAATGATGTGTTGCAATGAGTTCTGTGTGTGCGGAGTGAACGGCCGCAGCTGTATGATGCCCAGATGCAGCAACACACTTGTAAGTAACGCTATGTGTCGTCAATGACAACACTACACAGAACAACAAACGCTACAGCGTGATAGAACGCTATATTCAGAGCCCGGCCCGAGCCCGGCCCGAGCCCGAGGTCATTATACGGACATTGGCCCGAAGCCCGGCCCTCGGGCTGTCGGGCTGTCAGGGCCCTCGGGCCAGGGGCTCAAGTGCAGGGCTCTAATGTACATACAAAAAAAATTTCTTATATTCTAGGTTCTTCAAGGTGTGAATCTACAGTCAATAGTCATGAAAAGAAAGGACACTCATTGAATGAGAAAGTGTGTCCAAACTTTTGGTCTGTACTGTATATACAGTATATAGTCAGGTTATATGTATATATACCAGAGGTGGGACAAAGTCATTGTTTAGCAAGTCACAAGTCAGTCTCAATTCATTGCCCTCAAGTCCCGAGTCAAGTCACGAGTCAAGACAGGCAAGTCCCGAGGCGAGTCCAAGTCAAAGGCCAACAAATTTCAAGTCGGTCCCAAGTCCTACGGTTTGACTTTCGAGTCCTCTCGAGTCTTTTTGACCGCGATTTGTTTCTTGTTGGTCTCCACGTACTTTTGTAGGCAAACAAAATAATGTTAGGAATCATTTTGCTGGTGCATTCTCGTTGGTCTCTGACCCATGGACCAGTTTGTTCCATGTCGTTTGCTGCTGGTAAATCAAAACTATCTACGGGATCTAATTGGATGTTGTGTCAGATGCAGGCTCAGTTACACATGCACAGACCACACATAAAATCAGAGCAGTCCGTGTCAACATACTTTTTATCTTTGGGGTTTTTAATGGGAAGTAGCAAGTGCAGCATATATGAATATGAGTATTGGGCTAGGACCTGTATCTATAGTCCGTAGTGGTTATTGTTCCAAATGTCCTACTGTAGGATAGGGGTAGTATGAGGGGTCTAGGCTTTGGACCCGGGGCAGCTCGCCACCAAAAAAAAGGGGGGGGGGGCAAAGGACTGAAGGGACCAATGGAGTGGAAGGAACCTGGCCTGTATGAACTGGACCAGCATTAGTAATATCTCATAATTACCAATATATCATTACATAATAAAATGTATCATATAAATTAATTCAATCAGTCAAAGCACTGATTCTCATATCAATGCACCATAAACAATAGTGCAAATATGAATCTAGCTTAGTGCACATAATCAAAACAACTATCTAATGTATGCAAACTTTAGCAGGAGGAGCACAGCAAAAACATACTCATAATAATAGGCCTCTGCGCCCACACAGAAAAATATAAGAAAGAGCCAACAGAGCAGCGCAGGCTAGCGCTAGTTTGACTCACCAGTTCCTCTTTAAAACACGGCACAGAGTGTGACAACTGCGTCGATTCAATTGTATGAGGCGCCTGTAGTGAAAGCAGAGAGAGACCAGAGAGAGACCAGAGGGACCAGAGAGACCAGAGAGAGACCAGAGAGACCAGAGAGACCAGAGAGACCAGAGAGAGACCAGAGAGAGACCTGAGAGAGAGACCAGAGAGAGACCAGAGAGAGACCAGAGAGAGACCAGAGGGACCAGAGAGACCAGAGAGAGAGACCAGAGAGGAAACAGCAAGAAAACAGCGAGGCTGAAGGTTGCCTACGTTATAGTCAGGGTTCAAGGTTCAGCTACAGGGACCACTGTATACAGTATACATATTCAGGGTATAGATTTATATAAAGTATATATTCAGGGTTAACAAGAAACATGGCTAACAAGGGTATATGTATATACAGTATACAATATACAGTCAATGTGTATGTATATATACAGTATGTATTCAGGGTATAAGTATGTATACAGTATATAGTCAGGGTATATGTATATATACAGTATATAGTCAGGGTATATGTATATATAAAGTATATAGTCAGGGTATATGTATATATACAGTATATAGTCAGGGTATATGCATGTATACAGTATATAGTAAGGCAAGGCAAGGCAAGTTTATTTATATAGCACAATTCATACACAAGGCAATTCAAAGTGCTGAACAAAACAGGAAAGCATTAAAATCATAAATAATCACAGAACATTAAAAAGAAAGCTAAAAGTATAAAATCGCTCAGTTGTATGCACAGCTAAACAGAACTGTCATTAACCTGGTTTTAAACATTGTCAGAGAGGAGGCCTGTCTCACATCTTCAGCCCGGCCCGGCCCGATATGGTTTCTGAATTTTCAGGCCCGAAACCCGCATCAAGCCCCACTTTATTTTTTTATTTTTTTACCTCCCATAACAATGTTTTGGCGTCGTATATAGTGTTGCGCACTGATATGAACACAGGCTTGGCTAGAGAGCGGAGTTATACATGGTAATGATGTGTTGCAATGAGTTCTGTGTGTGCGGAGTGAACGGCCGCAGCTGTATGATGCCCAGATGCAGCAACACACTTGTAAGTAACGCTATGTGTCGTCAATGACAACACTACACAGAACAACAAACGCTACAGCGTGATAGAACGCTATATTCAGAGCCCGGCCCGAGCCCGGCCCGAGCCCGAGGTCATTATACGGACATTGGCCCGAAGCCCGGCCCTCGGGCTGTCGGGCTGTCAGGGCCCTCGGGCCAGGGGCTCAAGTGCAGGGCTCTAATGTACATACAAAAAAAATTTCTTATATTCTAGGTTCTTCAAGGTGTGAATCTACAGTCAATAGTCATGAAAAGAAAGGACACTCATTGAATGAGAAAGTGTGTCCAAACTTTTGGTCTGTACTGTATATACAGTATATAGTCAGGTTATATGTATATATACCAGAGGTGGGACAAAGTCATTGTTTAGCAAGTCACAAGTCAGTCTCAATTCATTGCCCTCAAGTCCCGAGTCAAGTCACGAGTCAAGACAGGCAAGTCCCGAGGCGAGTCCAAGTCAAAGGCCAACAAATTTCAAGTCGGTCCCAAGTCCTACGGTTTGACTTTCGAGTCCTCTCGAGTCTTTTTGACCGCGATTTGTTTCTTGTTGGTCTCCACGTACTTTTGTAGGCAAACAAAATAATGTTAGGAATCATTTTGCTGGTGCATTCTCGTTGGTCTCTGACCCATGGACCAGTTTGTTCCATGTCGTTTGCTGCTGGTAAATCAAAACTATCTACGGGATCTAATTGGATGTTGTGTCAGATGCAGGCT